GAGTGCACACATCCAAAGCACACGGACAGAAAGCGGCTGTCACAGGCATGTGGATACTAAACTAAGTTCTCATTCACACACAAGTTTACATTAAAAACCCACGAGTTACAAAAACAGTCGGTTATGTTTGTGAAGATAAACAGCTGGGAAATAAAACTTATGTTTATTTTAGTTCTGTGTGGCAGCAGCAATATACAGTAAATAAATCAATAAATCCACTGCTCTGTTGTCTCCTCTGAGGCTGGGAATCTAAATAGTGTTCTGTGCTCGTCTGTGGAGCCAAAGACAGAACAGTTAGCATGTTTTGCTCAAACTTTCGCCATGGCATTAGAACTAGTACACCGTTGTCGTTTGCGAAAACACAATGACAGCGCCTTGGGTGGAAACTTACAGATTAAGGGGCAGTAATATTATAATGAAATCCCTTTGCCACGTCACCAAGGGAGCGAAATCAGACGCGCTCGTTTTTTTTCAGATGCTTGCAGAAAAAGGCTTACCAAAACAAAGTTACTGGGGTCATCTTTTCCACGTTTCCTTGGTTGGTAGATGCACCGGGGGATCTGATTATAGCACTTAAAGGGGTCACATGATGTGATTTCAATTTTTCCTTTCTCTTTGGAGTGTTACAAACTCTTGGTGCATAAAGAAGATCTGTAAAGTTGCAAAGACTAAAGTCTCAAGTCCAAAGAGATATTCTTTATAAAAGTTAAGAGTCAACCACGCCTACCTAAAATGGCTCGTTCTAATACGCCCCAACATATCTATGTCACGATGTGGGAAGATTTGCATAACACCGCCCAAATATTCACTCAAAGAAAGAAGGCGTAACTTTTATTCTCACTGTAGTATTGTTGCTGCTGCCGCCGCCATGTCATGAAGGCGCTGTGTGTTTCGTTGAGAAAACGAAACTACTTTGTTTGGCCTTCCAAAAGAGGACGATATCCACTTCGTCATGCCTGGAGCTGATCCGTGCTGGTCGCTGAGGAAATACATCAACTTCGAGCTTTGGATCACCGGATCGGCTTTCACAGTGGATGAAACGGAGTCCAGCCCGGGGTCGTCACATGTGGTTGCC